AAATCGTATTTTAATACAAAATTTCAATTTTCATATAGAACATTTGACTAATGTCAATCTGTCAGTTATGACAGAGCCATTACAAACATTTAGCAATGTGACAGGTGCGGCCGGAAAAGTGACAGGTGCGGCCGGTAACGTGACAAGTGCGACCGGTAAAGTGACAGGCGGCAGGAAAAGCAATCTGGTCTGCCTTTGTCATGGAAACTAAACTTTCCTGACATAAAGAAATCGTCCTGAAATTTTTTATGCGCACTTTCTGTCAGGAAATTTTGGTTTCCATGACAGAGGTAGAACAGACTACGTTTCCTGGCGCTTGTCAATTTATCGGCCGCACCGTCACTTTACCGGCCGCATTTTTGACATTTCCAAATGTGTATAAATGTATAATGACTCCTGTCATCACAGACAGATTGACATTAATCAAAAGTTTTATATAAAAATTAAATTTTATATTAAAATACGATTTCGGGTAAAATTTAATACAAAACTCGTCACTAAAATGACATTACCTGACTTGGAAATTAAAGTACTCGGCCACAAATATTTCCTCGCGAGTAATGTATCATTTTCTGGACTTTTATGTAATAGCTATTTATATATCAAGTACATAAACTGGGTCTTTATGGACGAGCCGTTTATTTAGCCGAGCGAGCTTGCGAGCGAGGCACAAATAAACAAGGCGAGTCCCCATAAAGCCTATTTATGGACGCGATATATACAAAGCTTTATGTAGGACTGCAACAACAGATGTCATCTATATTATAAGTCTTATCTAGCCATTCATGAAAATACGAAGCGTTGCGTTGATTGCAGTTGCAGTAGATTGTCAATTAAGACACCGAACGTACGAATAAATCACTAGAACCAATATGTGGTTCAGTAACAATGTTAATTATGTATTTAACATTTCGATTAATTAGCAATATATATAGTTATAGTTCCACCAAGTCTACATTTTTCAAAACCAATTTACTTTGAATCGACTCCTAACTACGACTGTCACATTGACAGGCGGCCGTTTAACTTTATCATTATGGCCTAGGCCATATTATTGCAAATTATGGCCGCTAATAGCGACTATAATCATCGTATTATCAAGCAGTCGTACATAAATAACTATTACTGTACTGAATCAATGATTGACAAACAATTTACTCAGCCATTGTGAAAGCTCATATAATTACCTGAGTCACTCGTAACGACATTATACGGGTCGCTCAATGTGCCATTTTTTGCTTTTGTAGCGGCCTGTATTGCGATCGTGTAATTGTAATTGGGCGTGCCTTTTTCGAACCTGTAAGATAAAATGCTCGGACCGACGAAGTATTCGTAAGCGTTTGTATCCTTGGCGCACAGTGTAGGGATCAGATGGTTCGGACCGTTGTTCAATATGTGAAGGTAATACCCGACAATTTTGCCATTTTTTCTAACTGGTTCCTCCCATTCTATGGTAAACGCTCTTGCGGTTACTTTCGTCACGGTTTTTATTGTGGGAGATTCTGGAACTAAATCAGACAGTTTGTGTGCCCACTCACTGCTCGTACGTACTATGCTCGGGCGTTTGGAAGTTACCCACAACTGTAGCACTCTCTAAATTATCCGATACGCTTACAGATTTCAAGGCGATGGTATAATTAAACGCCGGTTGTAAGTTAATAAAGATAAAATGGTAGCTTGATGTATTCGTCGCAAGAGTCCCATGGGTAGAATTGGTTTGCGGCACCTGGTAGTCGGCCTGAGGATCTCCAAAAAGCTGAATATGAAAGTGGTCAATTGCTGCATTTGCCGGACATGGATACCTCCACCTTATGGCAACTCTCTTGTCGTCTATCAGATCAAAGACAACATCTTGCGGTTCACCGGGTACTACAATACAACAATATAATAACATAAATTAAAAGTCTTATATATATTACTAAAATCATACTTCCTCCAGTGGTTAACACTCGTTTCACTTCACTTCGTGGTCCATATGCAAATGTCTTCGCTTCAACAAACACCTCATATTCATAGTAGGAAAGCGCATCAGCGACAGTAAGACTGCTAATATCAGGATCAGCTTCGTATTCTTGAGGAATACGATCGTCGAAGGAACAATTTTGGGGAATGTAATAACGTGCATTTTTTGGGGCCACGGTTATGCGGTACCGTGTTAATACACCGTTGATATTCGTAGGTGCCGCCCACTTAATAACAAACGATGTATTTGTAATGGAAGACACATTGTGGAGTGTTGGTGGGTCTGGTACTAAAATCAGTATAGTAAATAACCGATTTCAAATGGTGGTACTTACCTCCTTCCTTTGTCTCTATGGGTATGGAAGTGCTGGGATGCGATAACTGGCCATCGCTACCTTTAACAATTGCGACACAAGTGTAATTGGTGCACGCGGTCATATTTTCGATTCTCACACTAATGAGATCTGCATTCACAATTTTTCTCATTTCTTGCCCACTTTCAGTTTTGCAATCGATTATCAGTTCTGAAAGATCGCACTGACTTTCTTCATCATTCAGCGCACATTCCAAAACTGCGAATGAGGTGCCTATTTCCGCCGTCTTACAGGTAGGTGGGGAGGGCTCTAAAAAATAATACTATGTAGGTACTGCATGTACAACTTGAGCCTGCTTACCTTTAGTAAACGCAATTGGGAACGTTACTCGAACGACGCTTGAAACGTTCATAGTAGCCACAAGCGACAAGTTGTAAACTTTACACCCAATAAATGGAAATATAATGTCGTGTGAGGGAAAAGACGTGTTTGCTGAATATAGTTGGCCAGTAGTATCAAATATGTCCAAATGAAGTGTAATGTTGCAATGATCAAAATTAGGTGCATTTTTCCATGTTACTGATACTACGTCATTTTCTTTGGTCACAGATACATCTTCTTTTCTTAATTCTGAAAAATAAATGTAATAGGGTCAGCAAAGACATTTATTTCTCGACGAGCTTGCTGTGACGTAGGACTTGTAAGTGTATTTTGGCCTATGTCTCGAGTTGACACAGCAATAGCGCGCGAGTTCTCCGTTCAATTTTTACGATCGCCTGGATCTTGTGAAGCGCGGTACAATTATAAAGTGTCTGTGGGTCTGAATTGTACTAAGGCCTAGTTAAATTCGTGTATAAAATTGTGCGAATAGTCGGAAATAAAATACGTAACGCAGTTTTAGTAAAAAAAAATTTCGATAGCGACCTTTCGCTTTAGTGCAGCCCGTAAACATATGCAAGTGTTTCATCGCTAAGTGATAACTCGGTTGTTACACGGCGAAAATGCTGGCATAAACAGGCTCTCCGTCCTAAAATAGTTTTCGTTGAAAATCAGAAACGTTTAAATAGTATTTAGAGTGGCATTCTGATGGCGAAAAAACTCCAATAATAAGCGGAAAAAGTATAGCGTGTGCAGGGTAGTTGGAATTTGACTTTTTGTATTCTTATGCACTATCAACAACTCGATTTACGTCCATGACGAAAGTTTTTAATGTAGCCGAGCCAAGCTTCATTATCCTGAAAATTTCGGACAAGAACGAGACATACAATTGTCACCTGTATCAAAGCGGGTCTCAAGGGTTCTACCGTATCACCCCACAGCGAACCAGTTTTTCAATTTTTCGTGGAGGGAGCCTTTTTCAAGGGAGGGTCGTACTATTCCTAACACGAAGTAAAACACCGATTTCAGTGTTATCTGCAAATTTTTTTGATTTTTTGAGTATTGGTCGGTAAGAGTTTGTAGTAAATAAAAATAAATAAATAAATAAAATAAACGTTAACTAACATTGATACATGAACATACTTATTAGCTCAACTCCGTTTCGACAGACCTTTGTAGAGGGTGGTTCAAATTCGTCGCTCACTATATTGCGATGAATGTAAAACTTCTGATTTAAAATGTTTTTTTGTAAATTTATGTAAAAGTATAGTGCGACACGTCATTATTTTTCTTTATGTGTCCTCTTATCTCATTCCGTACAAATCCAATATGGCGTCCATAAAAAATAAGAAAGTATAGTAACCTGTACTATTTCTAGCGTGCTATGGAAATTCTGATAACAGATTCAGATTCTCCGAAAAAAGTGCCCATAGAAGGTGTCCATTTCCGCCCGTTTAAGCTAAGGAAAATGAGAATGAACTTTGACATTTTCAGTTTTTCGGTGACGTTACAATTGAAAGATTTTTCAAAAATTTCAAAAGCGTTTACGAGTCACAAAAAAGGGCAACTTTGATCCAATTTAACCTACAGTGTATCTCTCACGGTTGCGGAGAATCGGAGATTCCAATGGTGATCCACGAATTTGAACCACCCTGTACATTACAATAAAGTACAATAACAATGTACATGATCCGTCCCAATTTTGCAATAACGATCATAGAATCATAGAATTCATGAGCACCCTGTATTTATATACATTGTACAGGGCGTGTAAAAGGTAACAAAAATAATAAAATAACGACTTTACTGTTCTTTGATACAATCTTTTAATTTAAAAAATTCATATCGAAGGTAAGGAGCGTAACAAATTCCAACCTGACGAAGTTACAAAAATGTTTATGTTACCTCGGTTTTCGAGTGTTGCATTTCTGACTGAGAAAAAAGCGAGGAAAAAAGTAGTAGAGTGTAGTAGCGAGAGTTGAAACTCGGGACGCGAACTATGGATACAATGACTTCAAAATGAGATCTCCATTGAAAAATGGCGTACAGTCGTCATTTTGGAAGTTAGAACTGTCAAATTTTATGTCAAAAAGTAGTTATACACCCGTTACACCTTACATAATTAGCCCCCAACTTTCAAATCGATCCCTTAAATCCGAGCTTATCGTACCCACTTTAGAAGGGAGGGGGAACTATTTACGATCGCACTGTATCGATATATCGGGCGATCAAAAATGAGTGACTGTCGAGTCGCCTTTGAAAGTTGAAGTTAAGTACGATTTCCCATGTAAACAAAAATTCCAAAGGTGACTCGACGGTCACTCATTTTTGATCGCAATGTACCTTGAATATAACAAAAACAATACCGGAACACATTTCTTTTGCGCATGCGTAACGAAACTGTTTTTTTATTTGACAAGATAATTGGGTAACGAGCGTTGAATACTTAATCAAAGATCTCGAGGATCGTTCGGTACTTTTTCGAGTCGGGAAAAAATTATTCGAATTGTAGACAATAATTATTAATTTTATTAATACCTACTGAAGTATATGCAACAATTACCTACCTATATACAACATGCATCAACTACCTACACATTCACAACTACAAACAAAATCGGTCGCCAGATGACCGCTGCTGATAGATCAGTGGTAGTGATACCATTGAATTATGGTGATACCTATAATCTAAAAGCCGCGTGGGTTCCCTCTTCTAGAGGCGTCAATTTGTCTCAACGATAGCTCTAATACCCCGAATAATAAAAAAAAATATTATTTTCCATATCAAAGAAAAACTAGAAAACGGTTTGTGATATTAGCAGAGGAATTTCCGACAACAGTTTACCTCAAATTGAGAGTTTCATTTGCCCTCGTCTTTTCCTTAAAGTTGTTTACCTTAATTAATAAGGCCTAATTAACAAATACTTTTGGTCAGACAATGTCTTAGGATTTTGTAACTTATATAAAAAACCGAGTAAAAAAATTAAAAATTAAATTAGCAAACGAAGGGAGGGGGGCATGCCCCTCACCATCACCGCGTCTCTAGTTTTATGTATTAAATAGTGAGTTTTGCCATTTTATAATTCCAACACACGAGCTTTGATCGTTTTTTAAAATGATTTTGAAATACGCCATCTACCGGTCATCAACATAGATAACGAAATTATAGCCGCTTCTGCTGTCAACGGCTGTGTTGAATCATTGACCAATTTAATTGGTGTATGGTTGAATATAACTACAGATTCTATATATTACATAGTACACATTTTCGTAAATTTCCATGTATTTACCTCGGTATTTACGTAGGTAAGTAATTCAGCGACTGTTTGTGTAATTAAAAATATCTGTAGACTCTCAATTAATTTGGTGTTTTATAAAACAGTTAATTAAACAGAATATGCGCGTAATTAGACGTTCATTACCACAAAAATTACCTACTATATAACTGATATGCGGCCCTTACCTAGTATACAATTTGAACTACCAGACGCACTGTCCTTACGATATTGCGATAATCCACCAATTTGGCACTGGCAAGTACTGATAAGCATAAAAATTAGTAAACCGCACTTCATAATAACTTGTAACCGAAAAAACTGAAAAAAACCTGATGCAGCACAAAAGAGGATGTAGCGCAGAACTGTTGATTAAAACAGGATGCACTTATCACTGGACATTGTAACTGGAAATAAACTTATATATATTTTAGGTATAATGAAAATAGAATTTAAAGGTTTATCCGCATTAGCAAGTTATGGCAAACTGATGATCAATCATTTTTTTATTATCACTTACACTCGTGAATATTCACACTTTTCAGTTTTCATTACACTTTTAAATTATTGCGCTTGTTTACCACATAGCGGGTACTTAGACTACGCTGCTCGTGAAATGTATAAACGCGACAAGATAAATTTATGTTGTAAAAACCAGCGATATCTTTCCAGTGGTTTTATCATTTATGTACATTTGATAACACATAATTACTAATCGACGCCGTTTACTTATAGAAATAACCTTATATTGAGAACCTTATCTATCCGTTTTAATTTGAAAAGCAAACAATTACGTAAAACTGCTAATTTCTTACGGACACAAAGCAATTCGACAAATGTGAATTGTTCTCTCATTAAACAGCGAGAGCTGCGGTGATCCCTTACAGAGTTGACGGCTATTTATAGAATTTTAGATTTAAAAGGAAACTGGGTAATAAGTTTTAATGTTCACGATCTCTCCTACACGGGCATTAATTATCAAATTGTACAAATTTTATTTCAAGGCACATGCAATTATAATAAATATGCGGAATATGCCCTGCCCTTTAGGTGTTTATTCCGCAGGATCGTCCAACAATTTTGGCGCGCGTATTTTCTACTGTTAGGGACCTAAAATGATACGGAGGACGCAAACTAACTTTAATAGAACACAAATGCCAAAATTTTGAATTGCATAGAAAAGACACTTTTAGTTTCATTATGGGTGTTTATTTCTCAAATATTACAATTTAATTGTTGCTATTACTGGTTACAATTACAATAACTGAATAACACCGACAACGTGTGTTTTCTAATTACAGGCAAACTGCAAATACCTCTACTGACCCGATAGGTATTCTAGCACGATTAGGGCGTTGTATGCGAGTGCACCATCCTGTTGATATCAACAGTTTCCACCTTTTGTTTTTTTGTGTGCCGTGCATTCGTTAATAAAAAATGCTACTCAACACGAAATTACTTTTTTATGGGCCATATAATGATGATTTATCGGAAACGAAACGTTGCATTGAAAATGGGTTTTTTAAATTTTGTGTATCTGTTCAGATATCAGAAAAAATAAAAGCTAAATCGGCATATTTCGGTTTTTCTGGCACATCCTCGGAATGTTTTGGCTTTCCTTTTGTGCATCTTTTCTCTGATTTGGGCATCTTTTATGGTTCACGAGATCCCCATGATAGACATCCTTCTCCTGGACAGTATATATATGCTATTTTTTAAGAAAACTAGTTCTCTAGTTTCCCTCAATCTCTTGATAAATTTTCACTCTTACGAAGTAATAATAATAGTCAATTACATTATCGATACTCGATCTAGTTTCAAATCAAAAGGGTTTTTCCGGCACATATTAGTGTCAAAAAAATCTTATAAAAGGTGGAATACTATCTTCTTGTTTAAAGGGAACTGGGGCAATTAATAAAAATTTGCATTGTCTCGGTAAATAATTGGATAAGCAACTGACAAAAGCTTTTTGTAATAACCAGTTTTATCGGTGGGTATATGATTTTGAAATATTAATATTCCTTCAATTACAAGAGTATGAAATTAAATAAAACAATCACATGACCAAACCAGTGGCAGATAAAAAACCAATTAGAATAGTCACGTTTACTTAAAAAACAAAGCCATTCATTACAATAATGTAATAAACACTGTGATCTTAATACAATCGCTGTGGTGGCCCCATGGATGATTTCACATGAAGAGACCTAACATTTTGCCAATGTTTTTTCAACAAGGAAACCAAAAAGTTGATCGATAGATGTACATTTTGAACCAATTCATCTGGTGACATACCCACATGGCCAACAGCAACAGACAAACACAATACCTAAAAAAAGTCGGTCAAATACAACTGAAAATTAATGATAATTTGTACACCGGAAGTTTAAACGTACCAAATTAAAAGTTGATACGCCATACACTTCTAGTTTTGCTTTGGCATCAACAAATCGTGCAAACAAAATTTAAAACATTAACTTGCTGGCTTATGATGCCGGTATATTATAACAACCAACATACCTTCTTCATTTGAAATTTGATGGTAGACTTCACCTCGTCAATCTTTTGCATCATGGATTCCTGATGAGATAACAAGCCAGGAAACTTGCCCGCCTTATTCAAACCGGGACCCAAAAGACGAGGAATTTGCTTAATCAACGCTTCGGAAGCCAAAAATGCATCATATTTTTTCGCCAACTTCTTTACGAGTTTCTTGTTCTTATTCAACTTTTTCAACGCCTCGACGTCCATGAAGGGAACATTGTTCGCCTTTGCCTCATCGCAATGCTGTTGATCGCCCAACACACATACTTGCATTTTCGGGCGGGGAATATGCTTAAGTCTGCAGTAACAAAACTAGATTATACAAAGGAATTGTTAACGAGAAATTTAAATGTATTTACCGCAAGTCGATTTACCACGCCGCATCTTTACCCGACTGTGCGATAATAAATTATCTCCCCAGTTATTTTAAGACCCTGGGTGCAGGTCCGCTAAGAATTGTCTTAGCTTCCTGAGTTGCGGGAATGTTTAGATAATCAATGAAAATTACTAACAATCTGAACATTCTCGCTAAACAGGTGGAACGTACTTGACTGTGCCACTGAAACGTTTGTCCTTTTGGGGATCGTAATTCTTCAAACCAATTTGAATTTCCACAGTTTCCAAGAAGTTTCTCCTTTTAACCTTCGCATGCTTGAGCACCGCGTTGGAACATTCGTAAAGGGTATCACGCGAGACTTTTGATCTAAATAAAAAAATAATTGGTGAAATTGTTTAATTAGGCATATTTCAGGAAAAGGATTCAAAATTAAAATATTTATCCAGCAAGATGACTTTGTTAAAATAGGATTTATACTTACGACATGATGACAGAAGTTTTTCGACTGGGAATAAAAAAAGGAAAGACAGCAAAGGAAGGTTATGTTACGTTGTCAATCAGAGGTACCACACACACCCCACCCAAATTACCAACATTAGCGTTAGAAGGTTAGAACCAGATAAATGCTCTATAGTTGTATACAGGGTGGTTAATTTTGTAAAGACCAATTATAACGAATATATTTTACACATTGATGATTTTGTTTAATACTTGACAATTATATAATAAATCGTCTTTATTGAACATGTTCTCTGGCGAAATCTAGCTAACGTATGATTAGTTCATAGTTGTCAAATTTCAACCAATCTCAAACCTTACTTTCAAGCGAGGTTTAAACTGCCTTTTTACAACCTGAGAGGTTCCACCCTGTATATACAACTTACGATGATACATACATTTTGGAGAGTTGGCAACCATGCAATTTCTAGGTGGGAAAAAGCTGCCTGCGCCACCTAGAAAGCACGAACGGGAGTGACGTTTGGCATCTTGTCTTGAATGGCGGCCGTGAACGTTTCGCTCCATAAATGTTTGTTGTTATTTTGTGTTATTTAATGCAGGTAGTAATTTTTGCATTTCTTTATATCGTATTTGTGTTTTGTTTGCCGTATTTTATATTTCTTGTGTGTTTGAATATTTGTTTTTGAAATTTACTTGGTTTAACCGCAATGCAATCATATGTGTGATACCGTTATGCTATTGTTTGTAATTGTTTACATTTTTGGTGTAATGTTTGCTTAATTTATGTTTATTGGTGTTGATAACTTGGTTTTGTCCCTGAAGTAACATTCATGTAAGTTTGGTTCATTTTATTGTAATATGTGGAAATTACTGATTCGTTTGATGTATGTACTGACTTGTTGTTTGTTACTAACAATTTTCTCCGTGAATGAAGCAGTCACGGGGGTGGAAAAAACTGTAGTCAAATTTGTGTTACGACACCTAATTCCGTGATTGTCTTCGACATCCAACTGTAGGTTCGAAACCCCGAAACCAGGGGCGGACTACCCATCTTGCAGGAGCGAGATTACGCTAATCAAAGCTCTTCAGTTTAGAATCTATGTGCGTTAAATGAGTGGCGATTCAATAATTTCCACATATCTTGTTTTTAGTCAAATTTGCCTACAAGGCCATGTAATGTTCCATCTTGCTTTCAACAAAAGGACTTTATTGCACCAAAGATGAGTCACAATCTGTACTTTTAACCCTTTCTCAGAATCTTGGTACCTGCTCCTACCTGACCCATTGTCCCCAAAAACTTACTTTAACCTTGAGTGTAACCAACATTGTGTATATGCATTTACTATCTTGTTAACTACTGCTAAAACTTTTACAAAATATTTTGTTAATTAACTTTTGGACTGTTTTAATCAAACTGCAAGGTTTTTCTTACGTCGTACTCTTTTTACCCTTAGCAGTTACTTTTGCGAGAGTACGACACCTTTTGGCTTTGCTTGCTTTGTTTACATTG